GTACTGGCCAATGCCAGACAAGATACTAGCCTTGATGGACCATTGATCTCATCCATTTTGGTACCTTTTATATTCTGATGAGTGCTAAGCAGTTGTGATCCAAAGTAGTATCTGACACCCACATTAAAAAGGAGTAAATTATTCCACAAAGTAAGGCAGTGGAAAAATCAGGACTTTTCTGCCCACAGATTGGAACCAAATTAACTATATACCTTTTAATTTACATCTTAAGTTATTTGGGTGTGATACTGTGAATAGACTGTTACTGCAGGTTAAGTGTGTCCTATTTTGAGTTAATTTAAATAGAACTGTTATTTGCCCCACAGTAACTGTGGTTCTTCAGATGTTGTAGTTAATGTGGCTCCCACTCGAGGTGTGTGGGCATGTGTCTCAGGCACACAAGATCCGGTACTTTTGAATAGCAATGTCAGCTACAGCCATGCACATGCCCTGTGTATCCTTGTAGTTCCATACAAGGGAATAAAGGGAGGCATGGCCACGATCTCCACTCAGTTTCCTTGTAATTAGAGCCTCTGTTGTTGAATATTCTGAGACGTGGAGAGGAGTCTTGGGTCCCACAATGACTGCAGCATCTCAAAGAGCTATAGGAAGTGTAGCATAAGTAACCACTCCTTCATTGAGTATGTGCCTGTGTCACTCTTGCTATAGGCAACTGGCAAGCAGTGTCCCCACAGCATGATGGGAATGAGCAAAATGTGCCACATCAGTCCAACAGAAATTGAAATAACAGAAAAGGAGATGCTCCCCCAAACTTGGCATCAAACCTAGCAGCCATATCATGCATGTATTGTTTGAACCAGGGTGCATATTTTACACAAGTTGGCACTTTGTTCGTCATTTCTGCTTTGCAGATCAAGAATACAAGCATGATTCTGAAGCAGTCCAAAGCCACTGCCGGTGGCAAATTGTCATGACTGAGGAGAGGGTAGACTGGCACCTCTTTCATACACAGACACCAAACAGTTCTGAGACACCTTGGGGAGGACCGTGATTTTTGATCACATGATGCTTGGATGGTCATACACTGACCTCAGCCATAACTGTAAGGGCTGCTAGTGAAACTTGGCCAGCAGTGTCATTCAGACATGTATGCGCTATTGTTTTGGAGTGGAGTCTTCACTCCCCTGCCAATGACTGAAGTAACCTCATACCGCCCAAGAGTCAATCATAGTTCCTATGAACTCAGTTGCCCTCACTGGAATTCATGACAATTTTTTAAGTTTACAAGGAGTCCTAGTGTGGAGAACAGGAAGTGGATGTGCTACAGGGCTGTAAGAACCTCCATCTGATTAGCCAGTTGTCCAGTTAGAAACACAAGTGAATTCATTAAATGCACTACACAACTGCCAGGCATTTAGTGAATATTCTTGGTGCTATGGAGAGGCTAAAGAAGACAACCCTATATTGATAACAGTTGAGCCCCACGGTAAGTCTTAGATACTTCCTATGGGCTTGATGAGCAGATAGATGGAAGTATATAATCATGAACCAGTCCTAAGCTTAGATGGTCTGAATAAGTGAGGCAAACATTGCCATCTTAAACATTCATTTGTTGAGTCTTCGCAGGTCTAGGGTAAGACAACCCTCCCCTTCTTCCTCTCTCATTCTTCTTCGGGATAATGAAATACCTCCTGAATTGCAGTGACATCTCCCCTCTATGCAACAACCAACAAGACCACTCTCACTTATAAAAAGCTTTTGTGAGAAGGGTCCTTTAAGAGGGACTGGAATGGCAGTGGACAGCAGATAGAGAACAGAACTGGATGAATTTGACAGGGCGCCTGTCCTGCACTGGCCCTTTAAGGGCAAAACTCAGGCCCAGAGCAGGGGCTGGAAGCAAAGACTCAGCTGAGGCCGTTAGGGCTAATGAGAGCCCAGCTGGGGGCTATATAAAGAAGAACAGTTTGCTGCAGAGGGGGAAGAGCAGTAAAGAGCTGGCAGCAGAGGAAGCAGGAATCTCGCAGGAGGGAGAACAGTATTGGGGCGGCCAGGAAGGGCTAGCGGCATGCCGGCTAAGGTGCTCCCTGGCTGTAGGGCCTGGGGTAAGGCCCGGGGCTCAGAGGGTGGTAGCAACGCAGCCCAGGTAAGCGGGGCAACAGAGATATACCCAGTGCCGGTGATGAGCGGCCCGTACAGACTGCAGCTTGCCCTGAGATGAGCTAGATGAAGACGGTGGGTAACTGAGGCACGGTGGGGAGTACGCACCCTAACAATGAAGTACCAATGGGAAACACTCTCTCGTAGGGATGTGAATGGTTAACTGTTAATCATCACCCTTACTGGTGACAGTCAACCAGCAGGCCTGGCTGGGCAGGAGCAGCCCCTGGATGTGGTAGAGGACTGGGCATGCCATGCCATGCTATGCTATGCGCACTCCAGCCCCATCTTAGCAGCACTCACCCATGGCGGGAGAGATGGGGTAGGCGGGTCCCCCACCACACCTATTTAAACTGTTAACCGGTTAAACATAACAGTTAGCTGATTAAACATATTTTATATCCCTAATCTCTAGTGCCCATCTGTCCGATGGCATGATAGACTAAACCTCGTGGAATAAGACAACACAGCTTGTAAAGGTCTGGGACTGGCTTGGCAGCATCTCCTGACAGTCCTGTAAAATCTTTCAAAGCAATTAGCCCGCCACAGTGAGGGAAGGGATTGTAGCCACCATGTTGAAAAGCCCTAAAGGAATCTGTAGGCAGAAGGATGTACAAGGGGATATCTACAAGGGAGCGGTGACCATCATATTCAGTCCTGGTATGCTATTATTCATAGCTGTTGTATGTTAGAAAATGAGATGGGTTCAGAAGGTTTTATGAAAAGTTTGAAGGAATTAGCCAAATCCAAGAACCAGCAGGTCGGGCAGACACTTGCCAGATTACATCTTGCTACCTACTACAGGTAGCAAGAGAGAACAGAGGGAGGCCACCCTACCCTTTATGCCCTTGCGCAAAAACACAAAGAAGCACAGTGAACACATGCAGCCCTAAGAAGACACTGCTATTCAAAAGACTCCCATCTCATGTGCATAAAGTGCATAGGCAAACCTGAAGTGGAATCCACACTGACATGTACCTGAAGAAGTATTTTTTGCTGACTTATACTGATTTTAAATAAGATACTCCATCTGAAATTAGAGACCACATACAGATTTGCAGTGAAATAATCAAAGACGTGAATTAAAACTGATTTTGTTATTTTGGTTCTAATGTAGGTGTGAGCCACCAGTTAGATGAATTTTCTTGAAAATAATCAAAAATACATGATAGTCACCTGCTCCATATACCCTCTCACCACCTGCCTCTGCTTCAGATTGGTCTCTCCATCAAGGCTGGCTGTTTCAATGTGACATATCCCATCTGGATCAGTAGAGTATAACAATACTATATAAGCAGGAATTATCTCATTACATGAAAGTCGAATGAAGTCCCCGACATTAACATTTTTCCAGCACTGTTCTATGTATTTCTTCTCTTTCCTGAAATATATATAAAAATCTAAATTAAAATAATATTCCACACTTATGTAAACTATATTGTAATTTTATAATCTGCCCTGAGAGAAGCCACATCTACCCTTAGGGAGGCAAGCTCAAAGGAACGAACGAACTATAAAAGACTACTGAAGTCCCCGACATTAACATTTTTCCAGCACTGTTCTATGTATTTCTTCTCTTTCCTGAAATATATATAAAAATCTAAATTAAAATAATATTCCACACTTATGTAAACTATATTGTAATTTTATAATCTGCCCTGAGAGAAGCCACATCTACCCTTAGGGAGGCAAGCTCAAAGGAACGAACGAACTATAAAAGACTACTGATTTAAACTATTTTATAATCAAAACAATAAACTCAAAGTATTGGCGTGACAGTTTACCAATTGAGGATGAGTGTACCCATAACATGATCAATTGCTGAATGGGAACCACATTCCTCTGTGAGAATAAAAAACATTCTGGGATGCTAACTTAATAAAACTCAGCACAGATTTTGATCCAATGATTTCTATTCCCATAGAGGAAGTAGTGTTATAAAATTCTTTCACTATGTGAATTATACTTTCAAACTATGTAAACAAGAGTGTCAAATCTGCATCTCTTTCATCCCCCTTTACTCCTGATGGTGACTCCAGAATTCACATTTTTGTCATTTAATTGGATAGTCAAGTACACAAAATCTAAAACATTCATCTGCCACATTATAGTGACTATTGAGAACATAATGCTACTTTAAACATTTGTTTTTATGTATTATTAATAGCTAATTATTCTCTCTGAACTCAATTTGCATGTATACCTCATTCCAGGAGGAGTAAGAGTTAATTCAAACTAAGGACTTAGTTCAAATTACCGTTTCACTGTTGTGTGTAGCCGCGGGCAGTTACTTCAGGCTAGTGGAATTTCAAAATGGCGACCGGACGGGAACATGCAAATAAAGCCCGGGATATTTAAATCCCAGGCTTCATTTGCAATTTCGAATGCCTATATTAGCCTCCCTAGTTTGAACTAGGGGGCTAGTGTAGACATACCCTAAGTGTGTACAGCTCTCAGAACCTTGCAGGATTGAACCTTTTATTATAAAAGCCCTTAAAACTGTTGTTTTTCATGCTTAATTCTTTGACTTTCCATCTACGTATGCTGTTCAGAGCTTATCTAAATTCATAATCCTCCCTTTATGTGATCTCCACTGGTTAATGTGAACATTATTTTGATGCAACAGGAATAGGATTTTGGGTGAGAAGTAAGCAAGAGCATCTAATGGATTGTGGACACCAGTGTGGAGAGCACCAGTGTAAGTAGAGGGAATATAACGACTGCTCCAAGTAATCAAATCATCTGATAGGGACACCTCTGTGTCCTATGGTGAATGGACAAAAGGCATTTCTGGTGCCAGATATTATAGCTATTTAACTTCGAGCTTAGGAGACCAGCCAGTACACTGTTTTTATACAGACTGGCAGATCAATGTACTAGCATTAAGCAAATGGTTAGCGGAGTAAAATACTGCAGGCAAATAAAAACCAACAAAATTTAATAAAAAGGAAAATATCAGAAAAATATTTCTTACATTAGGTTTTGTAACTAAAAATGTTGGTGTCTGAACTATCTAACAGCATCTCCTTAAAAGTACAAGCCTAAAAAAGGAGAAGCCACGAAGGAAACTTAATTAAGTGGTGAATTGACGTATGTCCCTAATTAAGCACAGGTGTCTTCCCATCCTTCAAAGTGCAACAGAACCAAGTGTGGAAAGTAATAAAAGCTAAAGCTAATCTAAAAATAAAACTGGTGCACGTCACATGCCTGCCTCCTTTTCAAGGTCATTATCACTAGTTTTCCAAGCAGTCACTAAAAAAAAAAAAAAAATCAATACTGTGGTATGGATATAGAAGATAATTAAACCTACATTAATGTATATCAGAAAACATTCCAGATGTTCAAATTCAAATACCACCTTTATGTGTTTCTTATTTCCCAATACTGTCTTGAAATGACACAGAAGATCTGGAATATGACTCGCCAACCACATTCTACAGACATTTGCACCATGTGCTATCATCTCATGGCACTCGGGCTTTGAACGTTCAAGTCTTCTCAAACTAGAGTAGTGGTTCTCAAACTGTGGTTCAGGGCCCCATTAAAATGGGGTGACCAGGGCTGACTTAGCAGGTTTAAAACAAACAAAAGAAAGATTTTCTTCACGCAGCTCCCGGCTAGCCTGTGGAACTCCTTGCCAGAGGAGGTTGTGAAGATCAGCGCTTTAACAGGGTTCAAAAAATGACTAGATACATTCATGGAGGTTAGGTCCATCAATGGCTATTAGCCGGGATGGGTAGGGATGGTGTACCTAGCCTCTGTCAGAGGCTGGGAATGAGGAATGGGAGAGGGATTGCTTGAAGATTCCCTGTTCTGTTCACTCCCTCTGGGGCACCTAGCATTGGCCACTGTCAGAAGACAGGATATTGGGCTAGATGGACCTTTGCTCTGACCCAGAATGGCTGTTTTTAATGTTCTTATGACTTAGAGTTCTTGGAGCCTGAGGCCAAAGCTGAAGCTGGGTGGTAAGGCTTAGGTTACAGGCCTCCCATCTGAGGCTGAAGCCCTTGGGCCTTGGCTTTGCCCCTCTTCCCCGCTTACCTTCTCCCCTCCCCCGCCAAAGCAGGGGATCTCAGAAGGGTTCAAATTTTGGTTCCTAGCTGCTGGGGTCGGTGTAGTAATTTTTTGTCAAAAAGGGGTCGTGGTGTAATGAAGTTTGAAAACACTTGCTCTAGAGGACCCATTCATGTTAGCAGCTCTATCAATGTCTATATAATCTCATGCTTACACAATCTGTACATTTATAACAACTGGTTCTCATTTTGTTTATTAGGAACTTTAGTGCTAATGCACTTTAATGTATGTCTGTGCCACATACATGGGGACATCTACACATAAAATCAAATTCTCTTTAAAAATGTACCTTAAAGATATTTAATTCATCCACATAAACATTCATATCTATCACTAACTTTAATTTTCCTGAAATACATCCTCTAAACCTCTTTGTACATAAGCGTGGATCCTACTTGTACATATAAGCATATCACAAAGAGTAGGGATGCTAAAAAGCAGGTAACTGAGTAACCATGTAACCAATGAAAATTTCAGTGGTTACATGGTTACATCCACCCACCATGCTCACTGGCTCCCGCCTGCTGGCCCCACTCCCGGGGAGCCAGGTGCCGCCCTGTGCTGCAACCTGTGATACCAACAACTGTTACTAATGGTGTAAAATTTTCAAATGGAAAAGAGCAAAGATTAATTTGCTGATATCCATAATATTTAATGCATGAAAGGAGAAAATGGCAACATTAAAAGGGTACCACTAAGGACAATTAGGATAGTCAAAAGACTGTTTGAAGCTCTGGAATAAGCATAAATCTCATCTGTGCAGGACACAGAAATTACTCAGGGGCCAGTCGTAGGTTGTGGAATTAACTCACCCAAGAATTAGGACACAAACCACACCATCCTCCACTCCAAGTACATTTCTTTTACCTGACTTTCTTTAACATAAACACACAGCAACAAGGGGAGATGACAGATAACATGCAATAGATAGCAGTCACATTTCTTAATGCACTACTGGAAGGCATTTAGATACTTCACAATGAGGAGCATGACGTAAGAACAGAGGCAGTTATGTGCAGTATGGGCAAGCCCTAATGGAGGGCTGAAAAGCTTTCTCACCAAGATTGTGCAGAAATAACAATGCTTAGATTTCTGTCAGATCTTCAATTGTGCCTCAGAATAATCAGTTAGTTTTTGGCAGTAGTCAAGGAATGAAAATAGTGCATCCTGGACCAAAGGGTTTGTCTATGTGAGAAAGTTGCATCAACTTAACTACAGAGGTGATTTTAAATTAATGTACTTGAACTGAAATAAGGGTCTTCACACAGACATTCTCACTCATTTAGGAGTGACTTATTTCAGTTTAACTTACACATAACTGAAATAAGTCAATTTTAGAACAAAATAAGAATGCATGATTAGTTTAACATACGCTTTAATAATATACACTGTACATTATTTATCAATAACAAATTCAAACAAAAAAAGAAATACATTCTTATTACTTACCTGCTATATACTTTAGTTAATAAGTTGTTTATCTGCTTATCTAGTTTGTATTTCGAGTAATCCTCAAGGCCATCTTTAACTGCAATAATTGTGAGAACAGCTACTAGAGGTAACATTGTAATTTCTTTCTGGAAGGCTTCCACCAGTGGAACCCAATTCAGGACAACTAAAAATAGGAAATATAAATTGGCAGCTCTGAAACAAAAAGAAAATTAAAAAAATATATGCAAGAGTTAGGAATGGAACAAAGTTTAGGGGGTGAATAAAAAGCAGGGATGACACCGATGTGGTTCATTAGTAAACTGCATTAAGCTGAAGTTTCTATGTACTTTAAAAATAGCATTTATTCACAGTTTGTTATGGTTATGTTGCCTAAGAGACTAAATGCTGAATGGAGACATGCGCATCCATGTGTTTTACATATCAAGAAACTAAACCAAGCTCTTACCATGCAGCCATAGTTTTAGAATAACTCCTTTTCATGAGCGTCATAGTTCCAAACCATTCCTAGAGCTCTGCCCTTAATTTTTGTACAAAAATAGCATGTTGTCAGCAAAGATCAACATATTAGAAGTCACCATAATTTTTATATCCAAAATTATTAAAATGTTAGCTTAAGTCTCGTGTCCACATCTCTAAGCATCATCCAGCTATTCAGTCACGCCAATAAAAATAAAAATTTCCTGAAAAAGACTGATCTTATATAGAAACACAAGCATATTGCCTTAATGGTCATCTCCACGCTAGCATCTCAATTTTAGCATTAATTCTTTGAGCTATAACCACCAGCAGATAGGCAAAACAGAGAAGCATTAAGCATCATTAATCTCACTATTACCCACACATTTAGAATTTAACTTAAAAGAAAATATGAAACACTTCTGCATCAGTTAAAGAACTACATAAATATAGCTTCAGCTTCCAGCATTTCAACACATCTTTCATTTACAGCCTTCCTTGGTACAGATTATTGTTGTAACATATTATAAATGAGTAGTTCTGTGGCACCAGAGGTACCACGTAGCAGGGCAAAAGTCGAATTAAGATACACAACTTCAGCTACATCAATTGTGTAGCCAAAGTCGAAATAGCTTAATTTGTCTTTTGGAGCTGTTTACACAGCATGAAGTCGAAGGAAGAACACTCTTCCTTCGACTTCCCTTACTCCTCATGAAGTGAGGGTTGCAGAAGTTGAAGTCCTTCATTTCAACATTATTTTGAAATAATGGCTTGCAGTGTACGCATGCATTTTGTTATTTTGAAATAATGTCAATTATTCCAAAATAATAGTGCTGTGTAGATGTACCCTTAGAAACTAAGAAATATATATGATCATGAGCTTTCGTGGATTAAAATGAGTCTGATGCACTGAGTTTACCCACAAAAGCTCATAATCCTAAAGTGCCACAGGACCACTTGTTTTTAAAGTTACAGACTGACATGGCTACCCCACTGAGATATTATAAATGATTCAGTCAAGTGGGAAGTAGAGATATAAAATCCTGGTTAATCAGTTAATTGGTTAAACTTTAGGTTAACCTAATGTTTAACTGTTTATCCAACTAAGTAGAATCCCAGGCAGGGAATGGTCCCTAACCCATAGGGCTCCCATTTTCAGACCCTGCACTGGGGCTAGAGTTCCTGCCACCGACTTCCAGCCCGCACAATAGGACTGGGACTGCTGCCTCCGGCTCCCACTCCTGGCCCCTGCACTGGGACTGGGGCTGCTTCTGGATACCAACTTACCAGGTAACTGGTTACCCATCCAATCACATCCCTAATTAGAAAACAATTACAGATCACCAGCAATGTCTGTCTTTTAGATAAAAGGTGTAAACATGAACTACCATTAACAAAGCATACTGAAAAAGCTGAAGCACTTTAAACATTTAATTGTTTTGTCATCAAATCATGCATATTTTAACCATTATAACAATAACCTTTTTTAAGAGTATTAGAGAGGGCAATAAAGAAAATTCAAGATGCTTAGATATATGTTCAAGATGTAAAACATCTTGAGGTAACAGGTCAACAGTGTATATATATAGTACACACCAACAGATTAGTTACCCATTATATCTTTCATACCTCATATATAACCAAACATGTTTGGTGTAGCTTTCCACATGAACCTCTAGTTCAAAAGCTTTAGAGAGGTAGTGGAATTAGTCTGTAACTGGAAAAACTTAAAAAAAAACAAAACAACGAATAGTATAGCGGCACCTTAAAGACTAACAAAACATGTAGATGGTATCATGAGCTAGGCCAATTCCACAAGTAAAATAAATAGGGAAGCCTTGGAATTTAACTTCATTTACAAGTTTGGGAGTCATCACAAAGGTATGAATAAGGACACTACCTTTCACATCCTAATGACTTAATCAACCCAAACAATGGGTACTTAAGAACAATTTGCACCTCCTTTATCAGCTTCTTGTAACTTGAACTCTCTAATTCAGTGTTTCTCAACCAGTGGTAGGAATACCCCTAGGGGTGCTCAAGAGAAGTCCAGGGGAGAGGGAAGGCGGGGTTAATTAATCAGCTACGATTAATTTATTTAAACAAATGTGTTGCAATGGTAGAAAAAAATGATGTGTCTGAAAACTAGAGGTACTGGGGGGGGGGTGGGTGGGTGTTTTGGAGGGTGGGTGGGTGGGTGTTTGTATGTTTAAAAATTTTGAAAGAGAGGTACTTTTTTAAAAAGAAGTTGAGAAACATTGCTCTAGTTCACTAATTTTTCCCTTCTTCCCCCACTGCTCCCCCATCCCCTATTTATTTTGGAACTGGACTTTTAATTCTCCATTCATCTGAAGAAGTGGGCTGTACCCATGAAAGCTCATGATACCATCTACCTGTTTTGTTAGTCTTGGGTGCTGCTAGATTATTCATTGTTTTTTTAAATTTTTCTCTAGTTCAAAGACAGAACTTCTCAGGAATTCTTACTTGAAGCTGGCTTTCAACATTTTCAGTTCATGAATGTGTATCCTTGCTATTAATAACTCATCCATGCCCCACAAAATTAAGAATAAAATAAGCCCTGTTTCCATGCTCCAAACAAAAGAACTGCTGGGATGATACAGGTACATCGACGCCCTTCATTTAAACAAATTTGCCACTATAGAACTGCAATCTCCTAATCTAGAGATTTGCTTTGGCTGAACTACAGCTGTCAAGGCTTTGTGATTATAGACTTTAATAACTCATCCATGCCCCACAAAATTAAGAATAAAATAAGCCCTGTTTCCATGCTCCAAACAAAAGAACTGCTGGGATGATACAGGTACATCGACGCCCTTCATTTAAACAAATTTGCCACTATAGAACTGCAATCTCCTAATCTAGAGATTTGCTTTGGCTGAACTACAGCTGTCAAGGCTTTGTGATTATAGACTATCTACTGACACAAACATTACTAGAATACCAGCCCTTAAGGAGGGACTGTGGACCTGAAGGATGTTCTACATATCTCTTCCACCAAGGCTAATGTGGACCAAGTATCTCTCCAATTCAAAGACTTGTGACAGTGTCCTTGTTGGTTTCACAAAATCTATCTTTGGACCCCCGCCTCCCCCAAGGCCATTATGTTGCTTCCCAAATGAGCCCTCTCCCCCTAATACTCTTTAAGCCAGCTGCCAGTCAAAATGGCTGAAGAAAAGTAAGGGCAACCTTCTTTTCCACCTCAACAGCAGACAAACATGGTGGGGGAGGAGGAAGAATCCTATTTAATGCTGCTCTATGTCAGTCATCCAAGAGAAAGGAACATCCAACTGATCCTAAATAGTGAACAGAAGAACACAACACTAAATGAGGAGAAATTCATTATCCCAAAACTAAAACTCAAGAGGAGTCTTGTTACAAAGTTATCAGAACTGATCTCTAAATTCAGGAGAGAAGAGCAGTTTATAAAAACAAATGTTAGCATGTGAATTTTAAAACAAAGAAACACAAGTCCTCAGATTGGAATAGAAGAATCTTTTACCTGTGAAACTGTTCAAATAAATTTCGTGGTATAAAGTTGAATAAAGTGTATTTAGTAGTACGTATTCTGTTGTTCATATATAATTTTGACACCTTCTCATACTCTTCTTTAAAGTGTCCCAGACATGGTATAACGATCCTATGTCTGCCAGGCATATTGGACGAATTATAACACTTGTCACAGGAGGAGCTGCTGCTGCTGCTGCTGCTTCCATCCCTGCCTTCTGCAGATACCAGACGCCGCCAGCGATATCTGGCCCATCGGATGGGGTCTGCCATAATGTCTGAAATGGTTTGTGATCCACGCCAGGTCTTCTATCTAGCAAAACTGTAAAGTCCAGAAAGTTACACAGTAAGTGTGCAGAAGCTTTAGCTCAAAAATAGAAAACAAAAAAATACTAAGGAAAAACCAAACAGCTGTTCATAATGGTTATTGCAAAGGCCTTTAAATAAGATTAACTTGGTTTATTAACCTTACAATGAGAATTGAGTTACTACCCAATTTTGGTTGTGAAGTGAAAGAAACTACAGTATATAGTTTATGTGAGGTAGGAACCTCTAATTGAATAGCGTAATAATTTGTATTGAAGGACTGTTTATTTAGATTTAGTTCTACCTTGCAGAGACTAGAAAGAGATATAATCCAGTTTTAGTTTGTTTTAATTTAAGGGTTGTTTAAAATAATTATTCCATAAATACAAATCACAACCTCCACCTCAATCAATATCCATCAGCTACTGACAAAGACTGGTGGAAAATGTATGATCCCCTGTGTGGTGCTGTCTAGCAGGTTGCCTGTCATAATTTAGTTCGAAGAAATGTTAATGACACCGTCTTTTCTTAGTAATCAACAGGTTTAGAGAGACTGCATTATGTTCCTGCAATTAAATAACCCTAGATCAAAGTTAAAAGTCTCAGAGGGGTAGCCCTGTTAGTCTGTAACTAAAAAAATCTTAACAAGAATTGTCCTGTAGCACGTTAGAGACTAACCAAAAAATACTAATGAACGATTCTCGTTTCACATAATCTATCCTGATAATAATGTAACAGCATGCAATGGCATTGTGTATATCGCTGTAACTAATTACTTGTGAAAGCCAGGAAACTGAATGCTAATTTCAAAGCAAAGGTCACTGTATTCAACAATGGAAATCCATAGATTCAATCTGCAACTGCTACTCATCAAAACTCAAGACAGTGTTCAGATGTCTTCTGTAGTTTCTTCTTTCATAATACTGCCAGTATAATAAGTTTGTTTTCTGCATTGACAGTGAAGCTGCTGCTAGCTGTGGATAGCCTGTATTTCTACAGCAAACTGATCTCTCAGTACCAGTATGTGAAAGAGAGGAGAGGAAATCCATAAAATGTAGTTTTCATTTCTGGCTCTCACATTAGGTCCAAGTACAAAGAAGCCATAACCTACTGCATTTTCTGTGATCCAAGACAGGATTTGTATATTTTTACCAGTTTCGCATACATTCCTGTCTTTTCATTATTTGCAGAAAGTGAGCATAAAGATTACAATCAATCTTCTAATATACATTCAGTGAAGCAAAAGAGCTGCAGAATTCAAACTGATTGAGTAGGAAGACTTTTAAGCTCATTTTTCACAAAACCTCAAGAAACATAAATCACAATAATTTTTTAAAAGACCATAAGAGGTATAAAAATAATGCCTGCCATTAGTCTGTTTAGCACACTGACTATCACAGTGCAGTCCAGCCCTACTCCCAGGGAGTCTCTTGCCACCCTATGCTGCTGCCTCTGTATCAGAGGCTGCTGCACAGGGTGAAAGGCGAGAGCTGGTATACAAAAAGAGACAGTTTAAAAACCAGCTTCCTGCACAGACTGGCTGCCTGCTGCCCTGTGTTGCTGCCTCTGATACAGGGGACAGGGCGGCAACATGGGGTGGCAGCAGCCCCTGTTCAAAGGGGTCAAAGCTCCCCACAGACAGAGGCTGCTGAGGAAGGAGGGAGCAGGGGAGGCTGCCATGATGCAGCCTCTGAAGCAGCAAGCCTGGGCCAATGCAGGCAGGGCCTGCTTTACAGCAGCAGCCCCTTCTGTGGGGGGTCCTAGCAGACAGGGACTGCTGCAGCAGCAGCCACCTCGGCTCACTGCGGGCCCAGGCTTCCCACGGACAGAAGCTGCTCCGCAGGATGTGGAACATTCTCTGCCTGTGGCAAGCCTGGGCCCCCCATGGGCAGAAGCTGTTTTGCAGCAGCCTCACCTATCCGCCCCCCCCCCCTCCACGCTGCTGCCTCTGATGGGGGTGGGGAGCAGGCACACTGCAGTGATAGTGCTGGGGGAAAACTGGCTTTTAAACTGGCTCCCCCCAGCACCGGTTCCTGCTTCCCTCCCGCTTAATGCCTCTGATATTGAGGTAGCAAGGAGGGGGAATTAATGCACCAATTACACACCCACAAAACACAGGACAAACAGATACTTAGATATTTGGTTATCATTTATTCAACAAAGTATATTCACCTGCAAAAATACCCCCAGCATATCTGTTCCATTTTTTACTACTTGTTTGGACAGGCCTGGATTATTAAATAGGTATAACCAGAGCTTTCAATTTAATAAAAATCACTAGAAACAATTAGTGTAAAGATATTCCCTTGGTAGCACAGAACACTGTTAAAGAGAGAGATGCAGTATTTATTTCACTGTATAAAATTTCTCTAAAGAAAAGCTAACTATTGTAAAAATTATTGTATTGTCTCTTGAGTTTTACATGGCTAGGATTTGTTAACCTATTGAAAGTTCTGTTTCTGTGGGCATGGTGCAAGGGGCTAGTCGCTGCCCTGAACCAAAGGCCTCACCACCACCCTCTCTCCTTGGGGAGAAAGGAGGGGGGGAAATCAACCCCAGGCTTCCCCTGGCCGGCCAGAACACGTGGGAGGGAGGGTGGCAGCGCACTACCTGTGCTCCCTGGAGAGGGAGAAGGAAGGACCACCCTGTGTCAGTAGAACTTAATTTGTTGTGTTGCTCATTTACTGCCCACCCCATATGTCTATTGAACCCAGGAAGCTACTGTGCGGCATAAGGAATTCAGGACCTGGGCTTAATGATGTCCTGCTCTACACCAAGCAATTTTCTGAATTCATCAGAAACAGTCTGACAAAAGGCAGACAAAAAGCGTATTTAAGAAATGGGAAACCATCAGTCCTTGGTCTTCAGCTTGCCTTTGAAACTACCTGGCCTACCCTAAGAGATTACAAAGAACTTTGAAGAAGCTGTAGAATGGGGCCAGAGTAAAGATCAGGGATGTTACATTTTGATTAATCAGCTAATCAAGTAGTCGATGGAAATTCCATCAACTTGTTGATAAGAGAGGCGCTCATTATCCCGCTGCACCTCTCCCTTTGAAATGTACAAAAGCCACCCGTGGCTCTTGTATATTTCAAAGGAAGAGAAGCAGCAGTAACCCGTGCCAGCTAGGATCGAAATAGTCCCCACTGGCACAGATTCTCCCCTGTGCCTCTTCCTTTGAAATGTACAAGAGCCACGGGTGACTCTTGTACATTTCAAAGAGGGAGGAGAAGCAGTCAGACCAGCCCAAGTAGGACTGTTTGAATCCCCGCTCATGCCCTCTCCTCTCTGCCCTCTGCCTCCCCCGCCCCAACGGATACAATGCTGGGGGGAAATCAGCTTTTGAGCTGGCTCCCCCTAGCACCAGCTCATGCTTCCCCCCCTTACTGCCTCTCTCTGATAGAGACAGCAAGTGGGGGCGAGGGGAGGGACTAGTCAAGTTCCTACTCGACTACCTGATACACATTTGCTTATTGGGCAGTCGACTTGTCACTCACATCCCTACTAAAGATCAACTCTGATTCAAGTTTTTTACCAGAGATAAGAACAGCTGTTTAGGGTAAGAATTTGCATGCAACAAGTTTCTTAGAGGATTAGAACTAGCTAAGTGTTTTTTGTTCATTTTAATAAAGTAACTTACTTTGATCTGTTTTCACTTGCAGTCACTGAAATCCTACTTTTATATTTAATGAAACCACTTTTATCATCAAGCCCAGTGTAAATAATTGTTCTCTGGGGGAGGGCGGGAAGCAGCCACTGTGCGTATCTCTTCCACTGATGAAGGGAGCGGCCCTTATGAGCTTTCACTGTGTAGAGCTTTTACACAGAGTAAGATGGATTTGTTTGGGGGCTCGGTCCCTTTGCGGGGGGGTTGGTTTTCTGCATGCTAAGCCCCTATAGCCAAGCGTCCCAGAGCTGAACAGGTTCAGTGTCTCTGTTGCTCTGCAGGAGGGCAGTAACTCCAAGTCTGTGCTTTGGCTGGGGAAGACCAGAGGATCTGGCACAGCAGGACAGTGTGGTGAGAAGCCCCAGAAAGCAGAAAGGCAGGTGTCAGTGGCATGATCAGAGTACACAAAGGGATAACCCCAAGGGGACTTCTGTAATTCAACCCTGTCATACAGAAGCATCAGATGTTTCTCATCCAAGTACCACAAAATAGGAAGTTTACATTGGATGAGATAGTGTGCCAATTAATTATGGTCCCAATGATACAAATACTAAATGTCTCATACCCTAAATGCTCAATGGCGTCAACAGAAATTTAGGGCATTCATCACCTTGCAGGAGCAGGTCCAAACAGCAGGGAAAAGAAAAGGTAAAATGCTGACAAAGTGAATAATTAGCTGGAGGGCAAACTACTTAACTTTTATGGTACATTACAGTATTACCAAGTGTTCTGTTAAATCTTGTGAAAATATCATCTGGATCGCTTTCTTTCCTACTTAACTGGATTAATCTCTTCCTCCTCCTCCTACACATACCAAGTTCTTTCTATTACACCCCTGAATCACTATAGGCAATATCATTAACCTGTCTAGCATGAAGGCCTCTAATCAGGATATGACTTTCAACTCGGAAAAACTTAAACAAATAGCCTTTAAAGTGCTGCTACACTAACAAAACATGTAGATGGTTGTTAGAGAAAAGAAACTGCCCCCCCCCCCAGAAAAAAAGTTTGGCCAGGCCGCTCTTGCTATAGTGGGCTGCAGTACTCCTTGGGAGAAACCGGCCACACCCTTCCTGCATGCCATTGCCTTTAGAAAAAGGGAAGGTGTGAAGAGGGGAAAACAGCCTCAGACTCTCCCACCCGTCACCTTGGCATGAGAACTGCGGGGCTTATCTGGTCGCATGAAACCTGCACAGTTTCGGCCCAACCCCTGGGACACAGACTCCCCCACTTGATGACCATTGGGCCATATATGGTAATATGCAAGCGCGGGAAAGCGATGTGCAGATTTGGGGATAAATACCCATCGCACAGTTCGTTCTGGGAGGTCTTCACAACACACGTACCAC